GAAACTGACAACTGAAATCTCTGAGCTAGCTTTTTGTATCCTTCCCCTAAACCACGATGTTGAACAATCTTTGTTTTCAGGTCATTTGACAGTTGTTTTGAGGCTCCCATGTTGCCAGTCTTCAGAGAAGATTTAAAGGGGAGAACAATACCTGATACCTTAGCCCAGGCATTCACGGTTGGAATTCTGTGGTTAATCCACCCAGAATGATGGCAAGCCCCGAACTAGTTTGCTTCACTTGGGTTCTGACAATATTGGTGAGATGGGCGCGTTTGGATCAATAGGGATGGAGATTTGTGGGAAATGGTAGTGACTTAAGTTGGACACTGGAGGACTCTGTTGTTGTTGTTGTTTGCCCCTCCAGAGTCAGGCGGTTGTCACTAATTTTGTTCTGGTTGGTCACCGTGTTGTTGTTTTGACACTTTTCCGTGCGGAAGTTGTTTTGCAGAGAGAGTGTGTGATTTTCCTGTATTGATAAAAAAGGAGAAATAAAAAGTTTTTGACCTCGAAAATATCGACAGCCATGCATCTTAGTCGACCTGAATCGCACCATACATCGATAACACAAAAACAGAACTCCGTCTCCGAGTGTTTGGAGGCTCGGCGCTACGTTGCACGGATTTGAGTTACATAACCATACTGTAACAATTGTTGTTGAGCATCTTCTAATTGTGATAACAGAGTTAAACGTCATTGTTGGCTCCCAGTGTGCTTCAGTTGTGTGCCATAATGTGTGATGCACTGTGTGGTTTGGCCTTATAATATCAATTCGAGCTCAGTAAGCACAACCAGAAGTAATACATAAGGCGCACCGGGTTATAAGACGCACTGTCGATTTTTGAGAAAATAAAAGGCTTTTAAGTGTGCCTTATAGTGCGGAAAATATGGTATATATACAATACATTGTGTGGATTTAACAAAAAAACAAGAAAAAACGATGCTGTGGTTTTATGGAGGTTTATTATCAGTCATGACATATAAGGGATTCTGTCCGTCCTTGGTTCACAACGTCCTCCCATAAATTTATTCAAAAAGTTTTGTTCCATCATTCCAACATGGCGTTAAAAACAAATTTCATACCTGAACTAGTTGGTGAGCAGAGTGGACAAATACGTCATCATGCCGCGCTACACACGTAAGACGGCTTACGGCTCAGAATGATGAGGAGGATGAAGGATGAGCATGATTTACGTATATACCTATTTACCCTTCACGAACCTCCCTACACTGTTATCAACAGTCGAACAACAACAACAACAACAGTGCCCTCCTGTGTCTAACTGAGTTACCCTACATTAATTAAATGCCCACCATATATACAGTACGTCACACATAGCATACCGGTATCTTAGATTTCCCAACCGTACGTACTGTACATGATTGTTTTGTTTTTTAAAATGTATTACCCTGTATGTATGTGTCGCAAAACGTTTTAGATATACTTTATTGTGAGCACGAGTTACATTTCTTTTCTTTCTTTTTTTTCCCATGTCCCTGTCCAAACTGATTTTTGCTTCTACAAAGAATAAAAATAAATGAATGTAAAATGTAGGGGAAAAAACCCCAAACAAAACAAGCTTGAAAAACATGTGGGTGGAAATCATATCAGTCGGTGTGCAGTGTTTGCTGTGCCTGATTGTGAGGTTGGAAGTTGCAACTGTGCTGCCACAACAACTTTTAATGTTCTGCAAGAGAAATATTCTCAGAGGAAAGCATGGTGCATGAAATAACAGCACTAAGAATAGGACTGAGTGCAGGGATTGTACTCTTTATTGGCTCTGTTTGAATTGAAGCTCTGATTACCTGCATTTCATTACCTGTTCAAGCAGGTGGCCTTCGAGGTATTCTAAGAAAACCAAGGAATAAAAGTCTCTGTACCTGCTTTGGTGGAATAAGATTTGTTTTGTTTTGTTTATTACATTTAGACTTGAAAGTGTTTTCTTTGTTTGTTTGTTTTGGAATGTTTCTGCAGCTCTAATTACATTTTTATTCCTCTGATGATTTAATGAAAATATTTCCTTGCTCTTCTTCTGACAGGTATTCCAGGGAAACTTTGACAATGAAACACACAGAAAGAACGTGATAAACCCCCCCATTTATGCCCGGCTGATCCGAATTCTTCCCTGGTCATGGTATGGTAGGATCACCATGCGTGCAGAAATCCTCGGATGCACAGAGGACGAGTGAAAGCCCCTTTCCCTCCATATTACTTGCTGTTGTTCCCTGCATCCCCTGCTGGAAAATCCCATCCAGTATTTTAAAAATAAACTGTGCAGCCTGTAAAAAGAAATCAATTTCCAATGGATTTTTCAAGAATATGTGTTTGATTGTGGTAGGTTGTTGTTTTGGTTTTTGTACAACCTGCCCCTAAATTCACATTTGTCATTTTGGGTTAAGGTGTAAGATCAGTCTTTTTATTTTTATTTCTTGAAGAGTTGTCATCCTGTTTGGAATGCATTTCTGTAATATACATTGGGGGTTGGGATAAAGGGGTGGAGTCAGAGCGGTGAGTCTCATTGTGGTTTTAACTAGTCACCATCGAAGCTATTGTACAGTGTCACTTTTTAAAATGTGTCTGCCGTGATTCAGTGGACATAATTAACCCGTTCCATATCATAACCAAGTTATACAAACACAGTGTAGACAACTAACATTATTAAACCTTTTTTTTCAGCTGCCACACTTTACTCAAGCCATGCTTTTACCCCTTAATGGACGCTGACATTGTTACACCAATCAATTCACTATTACTGCTCCTGTATTATATGTAAAAGAGAAGTTGAAACTGCATGGTGAGTAAATTATAAATGTACAATATTATGACAAATAATTCAAATATTCAAAAAAAACTAGCCCTGACGTCAAAGACTTTAATTTAGGAACCTATTTTTATCTGCCTTTCTAAATACTTCTGAAACACTAAATCACACTGCAAAAAAGCTGACTGAAGATGACTGACATGTACGGACGAACATGTACAGTGGAACATGGATCTGCAGCACTGACAATAAGGCTTACAGACTATCTGTATTTGCTATGTGTTTTCTACGTGTGTTAGGATTTACTCTATGTGCATCTTTGTTGTTCTTTTCTCAGAGCTGAGATGGACACTAATGTATTTTAATGGACTTTTTTTCTTTTTCTTTTGGGGGGGTCTGAATTGAATCAGTAATAATGCTCAGGATAGATTAGCAACGTGTCAAAAATGTCTTGTCTCTTCATTAAAACATTTTTGTATTAGTGCTTGGGGAACTGCTAAATAGGCGATTGGTGAGTTTCAATTTGTCCCTAAATAAAGAGTCCAAATGTTAAAAGATCATCCATATTCACTCCTACTTACAGTCGGCAGAATTTCAATTCAAAAAATCCATTATGAGGAATATATAAATTATATGTAATGTTTCAAACCCAGAGTGATGATGATCCATGACCTGTCTTGTTGTTATTGTAGGGGTTGATTCCTTAGGATCATACATGATTTAAGAACAATTCATTAACATGTAACAATATGTTCCCAGGTCCACTGGCTAGTTGTATTGAATTGAAATGACTGGAGATTAAAAATGTCCAAAAGTTACTTTATCCCTGGTTATACAGCAGCAAAAGCCTTTACAGTCTATTCTACATGGTTTTAAAAAAGAGCTGGATTACTGATAGGGAATACAAGTTATTCTTTATTTTCCTCAAATTAGGTGCTACAATAAAAGTTTAGTCTACTTCTGTGGGCTGCTGATAGTGCCCATGGCAGTGGGTAGGATATAGAGTGGTGGGGTAATAGAGTGGTGAGGTAACATGTGTTTTAACATCACAGGTCCTCATCAAGCATCAAGAAGAGCAAATATTGGGCTTTAGTTTTTACTGAAATAGAAAAAACCTCCACTATGTGCCAACAAATCCAATATGGCCGCCTCCGTATAGAAGTTGTGTTTCTGATCCATGAAATTGGAAATTTCAGTTGCGCTAACACTCACGAGTGTTTCAGTACTGTGGGCTAAAGTTCTGTTTTATGTCAGTAAAAATGTAATGTAACAGTTACTGTCACATTTATTGGACATTTCTTTTTGTTAAGAGGTGTTCACCACAAAACTGAAGCAGAACGTAAAGCGTTTTAAGTCAAAAGACATTCCAGTTGAGCAAATAACAATATAATTTGCTGCTGTGGTAAAGAGTAATTGTTGCCCAATTTTATCTGCACTAAAGTGCAAGAATCATTCTTCTGATGAAAAATGAGAACATTGATTGCTGTAAATTGGTAACCTACATTCCAGAGAGTCATTGGCAAAAAGAAAAAAAAATATATATGTATAAACATATACATTAAAAATCAGTTTTTTCTTAGCTTTTTTATTGTAATAACAGATAACAGATTTTCTTTTCAAAAAGAATTAGATAGAACTATGTCTAACTGTCCAACTTTTTCTCCATATCTGTGTAGAGTATGTTAGAGCCAATGAGGGAGCAGTGCAACTACTTTGATCATTTCCTATCATAGTGACGTCCACTGGCACGTTGTATCCCAGCATATCCAAACAGATCTAATAGTTTTTGCTTTGTGCTCAGCATCGATTGTCTCGTGCATCGTAAGACTTCATCTCAAGGCCCAGAAGTGCAAAGTGGAAAATCACCGGTCTTTGTGTTTCTGTGTCTGCACTTCACTTATTATTTTGGGCCTCCTCTGTCTGTGTGTCAATCACTATCTAAAAAAATGTACCTATTGTGCTGGTTAAGCCTGAGGAGGAGAGTGAGGATCTGTGTACAGTCAAAAAAAAGATGTTGCTTCAGACAAAAAACTCTTTCAGTTTGACAAATAAACATCTGTTAAAAGAAAGACACATTTGTTGGGTTTTATTTTAATTTTTTCTATTCTATTTAGTGTAATGTTTTGTTGGCCTGATGATGTAATGATATGGATATGTGTAACTCAGAATTTAAAATAAATCAAGGTCAAATTAGTAATGCAAAGAATGTAATCTTGTGATCATTCTTTAAGATAATTTATTATTTTATTTATATTTTACGACTTATTTTCTCTCTTCCCCAGTATATTTAATCATGTGATGTTTTCCACACTCTACACCAGGGGTCTCCAACTCAAATGAGATGAGAGCCACAGCTGCCGCCCTCATTTCAATAATAAGTATTAAGCATTTCAATAAATGCTACAGTGCAACTCATTCTTAAATGACAAACTAAATATTTTCAATAAATAATAATACATATTGTAGTGGAGTGGTAAAATGAAACAAAGGCAGCTTGTGATTTTATTAGGAAGTGGTTTATTAATTACCTAGAATCAGCGCTGCCACAGCGCACACCAAAACCATCGGAGCAGAACTGACCTACCATCTCAGAACTCTCAAATCAGTTTGCTTAACAACATGGAACACAAACACTAGACACATGTGCGCTATAAGATGGTGCATTCAAGGAACCCAAGAACCGTCAGAAAAAGTAAAACAGTAAAACACATAACCAATTATTCCCCAACTGTCACATTGCCTCCACCTAAGTGGTTAGCTGTCCCCAGCAACCTAATTACCCAGTTCATAGTCTCTAAGATATTGTGGAAGACGGTGCATGCTAGATGATACCCATGGTTGAGGATAGTTCAAATCTCCTGGCTCCTTCTCCTGCGGAGCCAATGGCCGGTAAGGTGCAAGACAGTCACGGTGCAGTACCAGCACTCGCCGGTGTTTGATGAGGCGCACCCAAAAAACCACATCCGACAGCTTTTCCAGGACAGTACACCCACTGACACATCAGCTTTGGGGATTGGGTAACTCAACTGAGCCTAACTAGCCAATCAGGTTTGTGAGATGGATGTAGCCTCATTATGGTCATTTGGATGTTTTGAAATGCTGATTATTTTGTCCTTAATTTTTCTTTAATTTTTCTATTGTGAACAAAAATAATGGAACAAACAAAATGCTACTTAATACTAGGTTTCACAAATACTCGCTGTGTAGTAAATCCATTAATTAATTGTGATCATTATTAATAAATATTTATGTAATTTGAGCTATGGCTTCAGACTAACGTCGACAACGGCTTTTTATGTTGTTATAAAAGTCATTGTACATTTTTACCGTGTCCCCTGAGGACGGATATCTGCACGATCACATGAGGAATATCCTGTTTTGGATTTATCCGCTTTGCCTATCTGTGTCCTCTAACAGTAGAAAAGCAAGGTCATCATGATTAAAGAGACGGATATTGACGGACACATCAAAGTCAGATGCTTCTACCATTTATCTCTCAAACATACTTTTGTCTGAAGGACAACTATTTCAGCCTCATTTCCCAGAGATCAACTGACTGGAATAAAAAACAGATTCCGTTGGATCTCAGCGTTACATAAGGTGAAGCTGTGATAACCACACTGGGACAAAGCCACTGTTGTTACTCAGAGAATCACACACAGGTTCCACTTTATCTTCATTAAACATGTCACCAAGCGTTTCATATGCAGAGCATTTGTGTTACAGCTATATATAGTCTCACTAATCATATGGACTGAATTTGTCTCTGTGCCGCTGTGTTTGTCACAATGAGTATTGAGGGCAAACGAGTTTCAAGTGCCCGGCGATATCTCTCATGTTATCTTGTTTGTGTAGTCTTCAGGGAGTTTTCTTTTCTTTTTTTTTTTCTTTTTTTGGCAGAACTGGGCCAGTTCTTTGTGCAATGTTCACCTCCACAGTAAAAGTGATGTTAATGTTATTTTTGGGTTTCAGTTATGGTTCTTGTAGAATGTTAAGTGGGACATAAATTACAGGAGGGAAAAAGAGAAAATCCTGAAAGTATCAAACTAACTCTTGTCACATTGGTATTGAGGTCAGTGTGATGCCTGTGCACAACTCTGCAGCAGGAGATGCTGCAGCTGGTCCCTCAGTGATGGGATGCAACCAGCAACCCTTGTGAGATAACAGGAGAAGAATTCATGAACACAAGGTTGCTCTAGAGGCATTTTGGATGGAAACATATGCGGAAGTCAGGCAAATTTAAGTGTTTTACATAACCTCTTGGAGAATGTGCATGCGCTCAGACCAATTTAGGATCCACTGTTCCGCTTATCCCCATTCACGGAGTGACGTGTGGATCTGCTCACAGCATTTTGTAAAAGTAAGGAGCATCTAGCAAGGCTGTTAACAATTGGTCGTTTGTCTTTTTTTCTTGGTAATGTTTTAATTGTTGTTGTTGTTGTATGCATAAAGGAATGCTGAGTGTGCGGTTTTGTTTTCCTGCACACAAAAAATATTCTTTAAAGATTTCTTTAAAAGAAATAATTTTTCCTGTAGCATTATAAACCTATTAACTACAGTACTACTAGCTCTGCTCAGTGTAATTTAAGTCTTTCAGCTCAGTGCATTCCTCCTTTGTCAACACAGATACTAGACATCACCTACATTTAATCCAAGCAAACAAAGACAATGAGTGAGGATAAAATTCACGTCATAATATTGACGAGGATAACGCATCTGATGAATGAGACCTCTGAGATGATGAGGTTCCTGTCCTTCAAAGATAATGTGTCTCCATGATGGAGGTGTAAAGAACGTTCTCGTTTCCTGAGCCCATGAAAGATACATAAGCCAGGCCCCAGTGAGCCTGCAGGCCACATCAAGAGGAACATAACAGTCCAGAGCTTGGAAATGCCACCTTTTTCAATGACTTCCTTAAAGCTTAGACATAAATGTGCTCTGACCTGTTCTATAAAGTAGAGCCTGGAGCACTGACATCGCAGTGACAGATTCCAAGTCACAGTTAAAAAAAAAAAAATTCTCTGGAGGATCAAGCCCAAGTTTTGGTCAGAATCTCTCATGGTCCGTTCGACTCACTCTGCATTTTTGCTTGTGACAGTCGAAGCTCTTTGGCCCTGCACATGAAGACAGAACCTGAAGTTAAGAAATAGATGTGCAGATATCTAAATGAAATATGTTATAAGGGAGCTCTCTCACTCAAGGGTTGTATCATGGCCTAAACCCTGTGGGACTTTGGCTAGTGTGGAATCACAGAATCATTATTTTCTCCTACCTGGCTGTTTTCAAAAAATGGTGGCAAGTTTGGATTTGATCTACTTAGTTTGAAGTACAGTTTCTGATTTTCAAACAACAGGAGGAGTTTTTCCAGCTTGTGTTAATAATATAGTTGTTAAAATCTAGGCAGGATCTTTAACCCTCTCCTCACCAGATCCCTCTGTGACAAAAACCCCTGCAGATTCTAGTGCTGTGGTTTTGATACTCGTGTCATTTGTGGTTGGGACATTTTTCTACAAAGGTGGTCAGTTGATGGTTTATATTGTTCATGATTCTAAAGTACTAAACAGCTAGCATGTGTTTGTGGAGGCCTCAGGACAGTATATAAGTCTATGAGCGACAAGCAAGACTGTAGACTGATTAATATTGTTGAGTAAGACAGCTTCCCTGACATTTTGAAGAAACTCTTTTTGTACAAAATGCACAATAAGTTTGGAGTGATAGATTTACCTATTTTTCTTTGTGATAATTCCATCATTTGAAAAATAATAAATAACATATTTGGGATTGTCACTTTATTAGGATTAATATATTTGCTACAGAAGGAACGTCCTTCCCATCATAGGGACTGTGGATTTTACTTCAGGTGCATTTTGCCTCTTCTCATATAGTAAGTGGCCTAAGATGATGAATGCTGTACTAAACTGAGTATAATATGTTTTTAATATGATAATTGACTTCACTGACAATCAATAATACATATTTCCCCTTTTTAGAAGGATTTTAAAGGATTACATGCCAAATATTTTCTTTTCCTGGTGAATTCTCTCTTCAATATCAGTGTCCACTCCTAATCATTAATAAATAATGTTTGGAAGCTGTTTAGAATTCTGTTTAAGAAGCTTTTAATTTAACCAAACTTGCATTGACCCTCACCGATCATTTCACTAAAAGTCTGCAATGCCAACCTTACACTGAGTTCGTGTGGGTTTGTTAGAGTTAAAACAAACAAAGCTCATTTTACTTGTGAATGTACCACAGACACAGATGATAAAGTAACAAAGAGTAATAAAGTTAAACTTAAAGTACTTTATTGACAGCTGATAGCATCAGCATCATCAACTGTCAATAAAGTACTTTAAAATCTCTTTCTTTTTTCTTTGTTTCTTTCTTTCTTGTTTTTCCTTTTTTTCTTTGTTTAAAATATGCAGCTAATTATAATCATATTTTATTCGCTACCACTTTACAGGTCAGGGGTCACCACATTAGACCTAGTGAACCGTTAGATATAACTATACAGGTGTGGTGTCTTCACTGCTTCAAGCCCTAACATATACCCAGATATAGGCCACGCCCACAAGCTGGTAGTGTTGTGCAGTGAGGGTAAACCAAGGATGATTCTCAACAGAAGCCTCCATTTCTTTATCTTTTTGACACAAGCACAGCCAACAAAAGAAATACTGAAATAAATATGTCCTCAAAACTCAAATCTGTGTCAAAACAGTGTGCTCATCATCCGTCCTCCCTGTCACTTATATGAGTAAATAAAGATTTGGGTTGTTGCCAAAATATTTGAAGAATCGTCCAATTTGCATTTGCTCCATTTTTTATTATGTATATATTTGACATGGCACAGAGCACAGTTAACTGGCATGAAAGCTCAGTCTGCCATTAGGGCGAAATGTTACAGTTCAGAGAGTATTTTCTGAATCATTTAGCTTCTCATCTCTGCCAGTGGATGCTGCCTTTCATTAAAACTTACTGCCAAAACGGAGGGAATGACCACATGGTTAAAACCGTGGCTAATGGTCCGAAGGAGAAAGGAAATTTAATTCAGTTGGTTATATATAC